CTTTCCAAACGACTAAATAGTTGAAACGGGGATTATCAAGGTTTACGAAGACACGACCTAATAAACTAAGCGAGTTTTCTTACATTCTGTCGACTTGTCAACAACCTATACGGCATTTTCACGATGGTAGTAGATGTAAGATAGCGAATCAGGGCTAAAGATATAAAACCAGCCAGTTAAGGCAATGTGCAAGAATTGATACACGTTCCAAGCTCACCATATGTGCGAGAAATGATGGATTTCATCTCGTCTACTTTTCTGATGGATTTAAGTTTATGCAGTTGCTCAAACCAGTGTCTATCAGGATTCAGTAGCTAGGTGGACAATGTGATAACATTTGAAGCATATAGTACTAGACTCTAGTCGCAGACAGAACATCAACTCTCGAAAACAGTCACATCCAGCTGATTAATCTCATAGGACGGAAAGCGTGTTATGGATGCAACTGCTAGTCAACATCCATCTCTTCCCAGCATAAGTTGTTTGTTCATTCGCATTTCTATGTAAATTGATTTTCTGTTCATTATTATTTTTCTACAGTAACATTTTAATAGTACTGTGATGATGAGAAGTAATTAAATTATTATACAAACTCGGAATCTCAGAAATTACGCGAATTTGACCCAAGAGAATTAGGTGAGCACAAACGAACGTGTCATATTTGAAGTTTGAAATCAGTCATTCATCAAGTACTAATGAATCACTAATTCATACAAACACCATGTCTGCCACGACTTAAATGAGAACCCGAATTTCTGCAACCAATTGTACTTCTCCTTATCATCATCCTGTGTATCTCCGACTGTGTATTGGATGTAGATTCTGTATGATCCAGAGTATACTAATTAGTATTAGAATTAAAAACTGAAATTGCAATGAACTCACCTGGGTCCGGGAATTATATATATTCAACACGTCGCTTGTGTGCTGAAATCACTGGTAACTAGGTTTTGAACCATAGACTTTCTAAGATTATCCTACCTCACAAAATAGTGTAGGGTCCGTATGTCGCAATGTCATGACCAATTTGACGTTCCAGACTTGTATTATCTTCTCATATCTCACACTTCAAATATTACATGTGAGTATTTAGGGATACATACTGACTTATAATTTGAGGCATTTCATCATGTGACTTTGACCTGCATAAAAATGTGATACATATTCATTTGCATTTCAAGCTGGAATGCACAAAGTCATTGTTTCGGATACCAGATAAAAATGTATTGACATGTGTAGTTAACACATGTGATTCATCTAGGCTTCATTTACCTGCAAAACATTCTAATAGAAAATTTGCACCTCCTTCATACTCATTAAGATAATCTTGGAGTCGGTTTGAGTTTTATGCCTATGCAAACTTCATATCTGGATAAATTGGTTCTCTAAGTGCTCCGGGAAAACCTGCTATTTACTCTGCATTCATCATACCACTGCATAGGGACTCTAATACACATACACTGGTCGTGAGAATATCCAGCATCTGATACAATAACATCCTAAATGTGACTAGAATTCGACTCATTCGGAACATATTTGTCCCACTCATTAGTGATATCACTATAGATAAACCCATTATGAGGACAAGCAACATCTTATGCGACTCCATAAGGATCGTAATCAGAATTTAACTCATTTCGAACATGATTCTCACAGTTAACTGAGATTTCGCTAGAGAAAAATGAATAATTATGGCAAACCACATCTGATAAAATAACATAATAATTTTGGTCTGGATTTGATGCACTCGGTTCATCTTCCACACATTTGCAAATAATTTCATTAGAAATACATAAATTATGAGAACAATGTAATCTGGTAAAACGGTATCACGAATCAGATCAGAGTATGATTCACTTGAAACATTCAACTTAATAGGGTTGGGATTATAAAGTTTAGGGTTAGTTGCAGTAAAATAAACAGTAGTATTACAGACTGACTCAATGTATCAAATGTTATCACATTTAAAGCATTTATTAGTATGAAATACACTTGAATTTTACTGGTGAAATTTATCACAGAACAAACATCTTCTAAGCTTGTGTTTCAATTCACATCCTCAGCTCAGGAATTTTGGGCAAATGCTTGACAAACTGAGTGGACTCGATCCATGGTGGCTACTCAAGAAAGGAACTTCTGCGTAACATTTATTACATACCAGTTGTTATTTAGTTTTCGTTCAATAAACTTAGCATAATAAGCACATTTGGGTCAACTGATACACTAACACTTGCAACAATGAAGAAATCAAGCCAGACTGAACACTGGACAAAATGACATCCTTTATGAGAAAATGAGAAGTAAACAGAAAATCCGAGTTCAATATACCTCTTTTTCGTTTAAGCAAGTTTAAGCTGGGCTTATGACTAGAGTTTTGTACCCGAAGTATTTGAGGTCAGAAAATAAGATGTGATGAATTTCTGATATACTCATTCCCAGTTTTTTGGTGATGTCCTTAAAGTTACCTCAAGAGATGACTAGGTATTTCGTTTTATTTTCGTAGTGGGAATATTAACCTCGTAGTTTTATAACAACCTAGTGCAAAGTTACTACTTAACAAGTTTATTATTAGCCCACGATCTGACTCCAGTTTGGAAGAATCAATGAATATGTCACAAACATAAATCTGTAGTGACTCACGTTTATCACGAGAACACGACTGGTTTATTAAAAACAATTATTATTATAACCAACTGTACCAGTGTTTGTTTTAACGTGCTTTTGTTTGACTGTGCTAATGACAGCTATTTTGTGCTTCCATTCTTTCGCTTACACTTTGATCGTAACTTCGCGCGAATTCGGTTACCTTCTGTAACCAAGGTTGTATCCTGGCACGATCTCGGTATCCTTTCGATGCCACGAGATCGCCAGCTAATAAACCTCAACTTGGTCCATTAACTGTCTTCTGGTATTCGGCTTCTCGGGGATTTTATGGAGTCATTTGGAACGAGCTTCTTACGCCTTCTGATTCGCTTGGCACGTGTTTCTTGGTAGCGGTGTTCATAGTTAATCTCAACTCGACGCCACGCTACAAATCTTTCACTTAATTTCCCACACTAAATCTAGGTTAACTCTGTTTGGGTGATAGTGGTAATACAACCGTGAACTTGTATTGGAGAGATGGAATTTATCTCAGATGGACGCCAAAATTACAAACAGGAAAGCGAAGTGAAGAAAGTGAACGTGCTGATCCGCCTATGATACTCAACGCAGGAGTTAAGATAGTTCAAAAACAGATAATACGTAGTATGAAAAAATGACGGGGGTCAGATAAAACAGTGAGTGACAGATTAACACAAAAAGGTCGTATATGTATGAAAATACAAGGATATGAATATAAGACATGTGTTGAAGGTCATAGTAGTTCAGCGTTGACTGTATTATCGGCTTTAGTTCAAAAGATAAGGTGATTCATATTAAGCCACAGCAGTATCAGATATTATAGTTTCTTTGAGGATTGTGTCAGATTGAGAGACGAATGTATCTTATTGTTTCATTGATTGAATAATGCAGTTAAAGTAGATTTAAAATTACAAAAAGATAAAATCTGAGTAATCGCGATAAAATGTGAGTGTGAAGCATACAAATTATAAAAATTCATGGTAAATGATCGAATTTTACACTAGTGAGTAGAAGCTTCATTCAAAAAATAACTCGGCAAAAATGACCGGGAACATCGAATTCATCATCTCACTCATAACTCATCAGATAAATGAAATGGACACAGATCACGCCATCAGTGCGAGACCTAGATTTATAGGGAGTATATTTCCAGGTGGAACACCAAACCAGAACACCCGGTATCATCTTGATCAGTGAAAGCACTCGTGGAGGAAACGGATTATTACAAAAAAGTACAACTTGTAGCGTCAGTTATTATGCCAAGCCCATATACCTTACTCGAGCTTTCGGACATCCCATTTTATTCATTTTACTTGAGCCATGCATTGACCTTGTTATTTATTCGCTTATCAATCTAGACTGTTTTTATATGAGCGTATATGTGTGTGCCTTTCTTATTCCATTAATCACATGTCTGTAGCTCTATTTTGTCTGACTATAAATATTGAGTAACGCTTGACAAACATGGGAGTTGGCTTCCCAGCCATCTTCCATACGTGTCGTTTTGCTCTACTCTTTTATTCGCTTCATATTCGAAATATATGTATTCTCAAGTCAATTCGCGTTATTCGACTTATTTGATTCCGTTATTGGATAATGCGACTTAAGTCGACGATGATACACGAGAATCAGCGATAGCAAACATCCATACAAACACTCCATAAAATCTAAAAAGGGATTCAAGAACCACGGGCCACAAAAAACTTCATACTATATAGACCTACCAACTTTCTATACGACTAAAAAATGGCATTGAGAATTGAAACTGAAATTTGTCAGAGTTTTGTTCCCTGAGATAAGTTATCTGGTCTTAGAGTTTTCACTATTTTTTTTAACAACACCATCAGCTCAAACTTTAAATAGAAGTGAAGTGTTCGAATTTATCTACATATGACTCACAGCCCTATGAAGAGCGACTTCAAGCCTTGTGAAGAGCGTCTCCACCCACTAAACCTTTATTCATTAGAGTACAGGCATCTTAGAGGTGATCTTCTAATGGCTTGTAGCATCCTTAACACTTCTGGACATCCCCTCAAACACTTACTTAAATTTAGCCTCAACACAAACCTAAGGGGTAACACTCAGAAACTGGAGACACAGCACAACCGAACGAACTGTAGACACAACTTGCACTCCTTAAGAGAGGTCAAATGCTGAAATTCGCTGCCGGCTGAGTTAGTCCAAGCGACTTCCCAGGAGTCCTTCAAGAAGAAACTTGACATATTCTTAAGGACTAATGGTGGTATCTTACTATGATTTACCAATTTCTTTTTCCTCTATTATCGCCAGTATGCCTAGGTTCCAGCCTAGAGGAATTGGTGATCCACTGCTACTAGACACGGAAGCTCGTTAAGCGAAAGCTTCTTCTATTCCGTTCACAATCATTTGAACCATTTGAGCTGTGACTTGACCTAGACGGCGAATTTCATTCTTAAGGTCGTTAGACATGCACAAGGTGGCATCTGAATTTGCAGTCTCAAATGGTATACTTACGTAAATAGCTTGACGGTCTATAGGAATTCTTAAGGTGGTCGACGGAAACCCATCTCTTTTATCATGTACACTTTTACCATCTCCCGTACCAAAAGTATTACTATGTCGTGCTCAATCAATTCAATGTGATTTTAACTTGTTATATCACAGGGTTGCAATGAATCATGAATTTCTATATGATGTGTTGAAGCCGTGAGTCTCTTTCATCAAATTTCCGAATTTTCAGCGTTCTTGCTGTTGACCCTTATCTTCGCTCATTATGGGGTATATATTCACGAATTCGAACTAACGAAATTACTCAGGTAAAGAAATTTTGTTTGAAATCGATTACACAGATTTCATGTATCCCGAAAATCTGCCGATCCCTACTTAGAGTTTTGCAACTGTTTAGACTTTTTCTGAAATATTACTCGGTAGACTTCTCAGGTAGCGTGCACTGCACGATATATGCTTAAACGATAAAAAATCTTAGTATTATTTGCCCGTTTCTGCTTTAACATTTACCCAAGACGTTCCGCACTCCGAACACCAAATATAGGGAATAAAGAGGAAACTTAGAGAAATTCTGTGGAAAATGCTCAAATCGGTATGAATGTAGCCGACAATCCATCAAATCTTCGCCTCTTCCTTAGCCCAAGGTAAAATTGCTGCTGTTCTTCATTTAAGTGAAGTGTCTTGGAACAAGACCTTCATAATTGCTTGATTTGATTTGTAACTTGTGCCTGTTAGACCTCATGGATCATAGGCTACCTACCATTATTCTCCAACCAACCTTGTCCTTTCTATTCCTTTTCGGTCACGAACTGCTATTATTTCTTTTGACTTATTCCTTCTGTTTCCAACTCATTTTTTGGTCCATCTCTTGTCCGATGAACAAGGAGGATCGAATGAACACGTAAAGCCGAGGATTGGCAAATCAAGGGCCGCATCCCTACAATTGAATAACACATGGAATTCAGAACAACTGTCAACCAATATCAAAGTGAGAATCTTCGGCACAAACGTCACGACAGTTCTACTGCACGGAACTGAAGCTTGGAGAACTGCAAAAATCATCGAAAAGGTACAAATATTTATGTTCAGTTGACTACATAATATACTGAATGTCCGTTGGTCCGATACCATCAGCAACATCCTACCATGAGAGAGAGAGGACAAACCAGCTTCCATCTGAGGAGTAAATTAGAAAAAGACACTGGAAGTTGATTGGACACATTGAAGAAATCATCAAACTGCAACATGAGGCAAACGCTAACTCGGAATCCTGTAGGGAAAGGGATAAGAGGAAGACCTAAGAACACACCGTCAGTAGTTTGAAACAGACATAAATAGGATGAATAGCAACTGGAAAGGATTGCACAGGACAGAACTGGATATAGAGTGCTTGTGGGTTTCCTACGCTCCTCCATGGGGGGTAACAGGTGTAAGTAAGTTTTGTCCATTTGCTTTGAGGTTTCCAAGTAAGGGCTTACCTTGTAATGCAGCTTGACAGTTTCCACTATGTGTGCTCTATCCACATACAGCATTTTTTCCTGACTTGTTCTGCAACTGGAAGCTGTTTTGTTCCCCACCACAGTAGGTCATTTCTGATGGTGTCCGGACAATAGATCTGAAGTATCTTGAGTAGACAAGTTTTTATAAATACATGTGCTTTTCGGATGTTGGTCGTAACAGTTCTCCAAGTTTCAGCACCATACAGTAGAACTGTTTTGATATTCGTATTGAGAATTCTGATTTTGATGTTGGATGACATTTGTTTTGAATTCCAGATTTTCTGCAATTGTATGGGCAATCTTTTTACTTTGTCAATCTTTGTCTTTACATCCACATCAGATCTCCCTTGTCTATCAGTCTCACTGTCTAGGTACATAAACGCTACCATTTCCAGAGTTGCGCTAACAAGTGTGATTTGTTGATGTTCGTTGTGTTTAATTTTAGGATACTGGACTTTGCTTCATGTATGTTGAGGTATTCTGCTGCAGAGGCTGCTGTTGTACTGTATATTTTCATCTGAACTTGTTGCTGTGTATGAGAAAGAAGAGTCAAGATATGTACGAATTCTAAATCTTTCAGTTGCATCAAAGGTGTTTACTGTATACCACGCTTCCTGTAAGATGTGGAGGTCTTCATAAGCCAACCAAGCATCAGAAAGAAGAGAAAAGGGGAGTGTAAGCAGCCTTGTCTGACACCGGTCTTCACTTGGAATGCACCCGCGAGCTGTCCTCTATACACCACTTTTCAGTGTAGTCCGTCGTAAGAATTCCGTATGACGGTGACAATCTCAGGTACTTTATAGTGTCGTTGAAGATTCCACAAGGTCCTCCTGTCCATACTGTCAAATGCTTTCTCATAGTTGAGGAAGTTAACGTGTATCGATGAGCCCCATTCAGTCGATTACTCGACTTGCTTGATACCGACAATATCCTTGGAATTTACCCCATCACGTACATCCTACATAAACAACACCACGTTCCTCGAGACAACCATCGAAAGATTGCAGATCAAAGAACGAAAACCCAGGTACGCTCTTTCTTTTTTCATTAAGAGTTGCCCCTATTGGTAGTGTTCTCCCAACCGAAGTGACCACAGCCCCCTCAGTGAATGGCTTCAAGAGAAGACTTGGCAAACACGTACTCATCCATGGATCACCATCTACTCTTGAAACATTTGTGTCGAATGCGTGTCTCGTAACTTGCATACTGTTGTCATTATCTCATCATTAACTTGTTTCTATTTCGCTTATTATCATCTCCACTTCCTCTATTATTCCTACACTTCTATATTCTCATAATATGTGCACTGTCAATCAATTTTTCTTCTGACCCTAATGTTTCTGATTACTGCTTATACTCTTACTACCTCTACCACTACGGGATTTGAATCGACAACTAGATCTCTGTGCTAATGTGGTATGGCAATTCGAGCTGATGTACATACGTACGAAGTTCTACGTTGTTACTGACTGACTGAGTATCCGAATTATCACTTATTTTTCACATTGCAACCAACGAGCATCCTGTATGTTAATGTGAATAGTCCTGGTATCCATAATCCCTACTATCCTGAGATAAATACACTGATAATTATAAGTAGTCAAAATGATTTGCTAAGCAGGAACTGTCAGAATAGTGCCATTTAAGACAGATGGAACTCGATGAGTATAAATGAACGCATTCTGTTTGGACTTCAAATTGGCAGCGGAATAAACTATAAAGGAGTCATCAATTAGTACAAATACCGTATTTCTCCACTCAATAAGTTCATTTTAGTTTACTATCATTACCTTATCTAATATTTTTTTCATTCAGCTTGCCTATCAGTTTTGATATTTCACACAATCTCATAGTTGCCTGCTTATCAAACTGATCTCAGTTTACAATTTTGATATCGATCACTTCTCTCTATAGCCCTATTAAGAGTGTATTGAATTAAATGTCTATCGTTTCTACCTTATTCAGCATACTTTAGTAGCATTAGCCCCGAATCTAAAAAGCGTTTTTTGTTTGCAGAATGATTATTGGTTAACTTATAAAGCACTATCTCGGTAAATATGTAATAATTAGTCAGATTTAAATGGTTTTCAACTTTCATTTGCAAGTCTGATAAAAATACTGTCTAAATTGAGTTTACTCAAATTCTGTTTTCTACTAATCAAAATAATCATTTATTTATTGATTAAGGCTTTTTGTAATTGACAAGGTATCAGTGCAACAATTTCCTCTTAAGCTGAAAGTTGGTTTGATCTATTATATAAGACTATCTCTGTCTCTGGCCAGTAAATCTTGGTTAGATATCTCTATAAATACCTTTACCTTTTTGATGATAGTTGTATACATTTTCCAAGTTGCAACTCCACAACATAAAACACCCTTACCTTTTACAAATTGTTTGCTTTTCCCTTAAATTAACAACGAATTGTCTACTTCCCTCCAATATTAACATGTCAAATAGTCAACTTTTTGCAAAACCTAACGGACTAGTTTACTACCGCTTGTGCACTTATAAAGTTCGTCTTTAATATCTTAAAACAATCAAGTTATCTTCTCACTCAAACAGTGGCTTATGTGAAAACAATTTCTAAACATGTTAATGTTTACATGGGGGTGACGGTTAAACGTCAACACTTTGACTTGGAGAAAAAAGTTATCTCCATTCCATGATCTAAAAAAAGCAGTTAATGCATAGTTTACGCATGTTTATTCAGAAAGCTTTTTAGTTTAGACGAAATAAAAATGCATACCAACGTTTACCTGCCACATCTGGTTCGTTCCAACTCATTCGACGCACGTGAGAATGTTAATGATTTCTTAAAAATGATTAATTTGTCAAAAAAGGATAGCATTGTAGAAAATGGACGAAATAATAGCGCTGTCAGTGATAAGCAGCGTTTTCGTCTCTTCGATTCTGAAGTGTCACAGCTGTAGACAGTTCAGATGTGGTTTTGTAAAATGCTTATTACAAATTCGTTATAGAGTAAGGTAAGACTTATTGTGATAGTTCAAAGAGCGGATTCCGGGTTTAAAGTTGAATGGAAGTTGCGATCACAGCGTGAGAACTTAGTAAATTTATAATTTATACACAAGAATATTCTTGAGTTTTTTATTCATCTTTTAGCCCCAATCGGCTAAAAATGAATAAATCAGTATGCTTCAACATTATCCTGCATGGAACATATATTAATACAATATGTGTCCTGTTGAAACCTCTCTTTTGAGCAGATTAGTGGGACATAGCGTTGTGGTCCGCTCGCATCCGCGTTCCTTGCTTTTGAGCTGTCTACCTTCTAGGCAGTCAAAAAATAGTATCACTCTTCGTTCGCGCAGAGACTGGGTTGGCCGTTTCCGGGGGCTTGATTTCAAAAGTGTCTAATAGAATAATATGAGGTATTTCACATCGGTTCTCGAAGTTGCTTTCAAGTGGTCATCATGGTGTAACCAAACTTCTGAGCCGACTACTGCCTCATTAACGAGATTTCCTTTCCTTTGCATGATTCGATCGACTATCCCTGTAGGATGTTCATAGCCAGTACTTTTTGACCCATAGTGAACAATCGACATTATGGGGCAAAAAGACTCACACGAGTTGAAAGCTGACTTTTCTCCATATCTATTCATTAGCTTTATTATTACTGCCAAATGTGTGTTTTATGGCAGTAAAACTTCGATTTAAACATGACTTACTAGGTCTGAAAATTAAATTCCAAATTTTGTCAACAGAGACGTTTGTACCTAGTCTTTACCTCGTTTGTAAACCCAAAGAAGTTACCCTCGAACTTTGTTTTTTATCCCTTTTCTCAGGATATAGTGTTAGGATTGAACCGATCCGATTATATGCTTCATGTACAAGGAGATTTATGCGATACTAAACGGACTTCTCTTGCGAACCGGTTACAAAGTACAGTAGTAGCCACTCAATCTGATATTGAGACTCAAGATGAAGCTTGGGATGGTTTGTTGATTCGACAAGTTGAATTCAATATGATTGCATGTAGCTTTTGTGGTCTTGCTCAGCGTATTGTTCCACAACATCGTATTTCCTTATCTTTGCATGGAATTTCAAGCGATTTAAATAATCGTGTAAGTTGAAAATTATTTTATTCACCTCATTGTTATTATATATAATCTCAGTCATTTTTGAGAGTATAATTCCTTGCATAATAAAATGGATGTTTATTTTAGATTTTTTCGTGAATCATATACTTTTTCCAAAAGCTGTTCATGTTTTTGCAATACTACTGCCTTTTGACGGACTGGTCTATGTCTTTATGTTGGGGGTGCTTTCAAAAGTCAGACTTGTTCAATAATCTCTTGAGTTCATCCGGTATCACTTTATTTTTTACGGTTAGATTTTCGTCTAGTTCAGCAAATCCTAATATTTGTTTCATATGCAAAAAATCATTCTATGTAATGATTGATCTTATTGACTTGGGCAATTTAAAAATTAGGATTGTAGTTTATTTCCAGAAGACTACATTACGCAATAGCAACAAGTGGTATCCAAAGTTAAAATTATATGAAACCCGAAATCATTGTTTACATGTATATTATCTGACGGATATCATTTACCTGAGATTATAGTTTTTTAATGGCTTATAATACTGAACAATAATTTTATTGAACTTATCTATACATTGACTTGAACAATCCGGAATATACACTTTATCAAATGGTTATTTCTTTTTGTATATATTTAAGCGCCTTAGGACTTAGAATGTATTTATATGGTTTCGGACTATGGCGCTATCATACAAATGATATGAATTTAATGTATTGAAAATTTCATTCATGTCATCAATCTTACATTTAGGTACCTGATTGCTTTTCTGCTGATAGATTTAGCGAAGCTTTATTATCTGCTTGTCGTATGTATGTCGAAGATTGCTCTAGAAGAAAGTTAATCACGTCAAACATATCTATTCTTGTAGTTGTTGGTAAGAATGAAAAAAATATTTATGATCAACGAGCATTGATTGGTTGTCTTCTACTGAAAAATCCTAAAGTGAATGTGTTATATCATTCATTTGATTATCTAAAAACTGGTCTAAAATTGGATGTGAATTCCCGTTTATTTGTGTAAGTTGTTGTAAAATTATTACTTACCTGCCTAACTCATTTAATCTTTTGGGCTATCTTTTTTTATTAAGTCAATTAGTTATCAATAACGAGTGTACAGTTTCAGTAATTATTGAGGTTAAATAAGATCTAACAACACTGTAGTAAGTATATTATTTTAAATCGCTAAAATTAAAGAGTTAAATGACTAAGCGATTAGCATTTCGATGCTTTGATACATTAAATTTTCCTATCACTTACTATAAACAACGTATGTTTTAGTTCACTTGGGTGTTGGTTGTTTGCATTTGCTGATGTTTAGGACTGCAACTGATCAGTCTCTAATTGTCATATTTGCATCCTGATCAGTTTTCATCGATATCGCTTTAAGTCACGAGTATTATGAGCAGAGGTAGATGGTGGCTAGCAGTAAAATCTAGGGCTCCCAAATGCCCTGGTATGGCCGAGGATGGTTTGGACCCTCCCTCCCTCTCGAAATGCTCTCACATGGCCACGCGTATACAGCCTCTGCCAAGGAAGTCCTACTCACTGTCTTCTCTCACCAGGGGTGTTGTTTACGAAAATGAGAGGACAAAAAGCGAATGCCCGCCGCTTTAACCGGATTTCAAACCAATGGCGCACATAGGCTCCAGTATCCTGAGGGAACAAATGGCGTATGAACCAATCGTTGGTCACCGGCTACCATGGAACTGCATCTCCTCACGATGCTTCACTGCCTTATGGGTTAGACCTTTAGGTCAAAGGCTCGGGGTGTGGCTCCCTAAGAAAACAACCTGCTTCGGTCTGGGCATCCGGGCAGTATCACAGCCCACACACAAACAGAATGAAGTGACGATACTTAAGGAAAATACTATACTTGCTTCGATTAACAGTCAAACGATTCACATTATTATTATTATTATTATTATTATTATTATTATTATTATTATTTACTACGTCATTTATTCACTCTATTTATTCTCACTTTATGCATCCTCATTTTTCGACTTATACAGCAGCTCGCCTATGGTGGAATCTCACTTCTATCTAAACGTTCTCGAGTCACTGACTGGTTGAAAATTGAATGCACCACCAAATACGAATACTGAAACAGTTTTTCTGAAACCGCGTGCACCATCCAAACTGGCTGCCTTCAACTTCCGCACACTTATCCAGATCGAACAACAGATAGGGCTTGCTATGTCTTTGGAAAGTCTTAACATTGACGTTTTTTGTCTATCCGAAACCCGTATTAAAGACTCTGGTGAAGTACTACAAATTCGCTGTCACTTCAAAAAGCTTGTTTTACGTGCGTTTATCCGGGGACCATGAGGCATCTTCTTCTGGTCTTGCTGGCGTTGGTGTCGCACTGAGCGCTACAGCTGAGGCAGCACTAATCGATTGGATTCTATTAACAGTCGGTTATGTGCTGTTAGATTAGAAAGTTTCATCAAAGTGAGAAGAAATCGGCGTGAGAAATGATGTCTTTTCATCATCTTTGCCTATGCCCCGACAGATTGCAGCCCGGATGCAATCAAGGATGAATTCTACCACCAGTTAACTGTTCTTCTCCAGAAAGTGCGTTCGACAGATATTGTAGTACTAGCCAGAGACTTGAATGCTCAGGTCGGGCGTCTAGGCACAGAAGAGAGTCGTTTAGGTGGCCTATGGGGACTTGTTGGTCGTAGGACAGATAACGGGGACCGTCTTTTGCAACTGTGCACAGACCACAACCTGTTTCTGGCTGGCACTAACTTTCGACACAGTCATCGCCGACGTGCCACCTGGCGTCCTCCCTCTGCATCTCAAGCCTGGACTCATATTGATCACATCGTGATCCGCTACCGCTGGCGTGGTTGTGTACAAGACTTCCGCTCCTTTTGGAGTACCTATCTAGACTCTGATCATGCCCTGGTCTGCGCCAACCTTACCTTACTTTTCAGTGGACAACGAAGTGACCGTCACCCAGGGATTGATGTCAGCAAGTTGGTTGCAACTTCTGTTGCTAGTAAGTATCGAACCGAGCTAGTTTATAGGCTAGCTACCATTCCACCGAAAAGTATAGATGAGCATTGGTTGCAGCTTCATGACGCCACAAAAATGGCGAGTAAAGCAGCTTGCGGATTCGCGAAACGTCTCGCTTATAGTCAGTCAGTCAGTTACAACGTAGGACCAGGCATATATATGCATCGGTCCAAGTTGCCATACCGCATTAGCACAGCAAGATGAACACCGGATTTATAGGAGTGGTTAAGTCAATGGTGGTAATATATAAAAAAAGATTGCATATAAGGGTATAGTGCAGGAAGAAAGAATTAGTTAGTAGAAAGAAAAATATGAAATAATTGTTATCTCATAGTTTAAGGGAAGACAGAGTGTATACACGTACGCCATTTTGATCGATTCTCAGCCATGTCACCAAGAGTCTCCAACCATTGGTTACGATAGTCACGCGGACCCCAACGAAGTAGTTTGCATCTACCAACATGGCTCAGACTCGAAGTTAGTGTCTTCAAGCGCTGATGCCACGTTTTGTTTTGGCTGCCCCTAATTTTCTTCCAACCATCCCCCACACCGGTTAGCATTGCACTTCGTGGTAATCGGTGTTCAGGCATACGTAATACGTGGCCCAACCATCTCAGTCGATGAAGATTCATAACCTCATCAACTGATTTACCATCATTCCCTAATACCCTGCGTCTAACCTCACTATTACTTACCCGGTGATCCCAGCAGATGCCAGCAATATTTCTAAGGCATCTGTGGTCAAATACTAGTAGCTTACGGGTGTCTTCTGCTCTTAATGGCCATGTTTCGCTGCCGTAAATTAAAACAGAACAAACTGCCGCGCAGTATACTCGTCCTTTTATTGATAGACGGATATCTCGCCTTCGCCATAGGTGACATAAGTTGGAAAAAGCCAAATGAGCTTTTCGAGTCCGTGCTGAAATTTCGTCAGACACCAACCCATTAGGGCTGATCAGACTTCCAAGTTAAGTGAAGTTGTCGACGCGTTCGTCTACTTCACTTCCTATCCTTAGTTCAAGTGTTGACGCAGTTCAGTCCTGAAGCAACAACTTGCATTTAGAGGGAGAGAAGCGCATTGCAAACATTCTGGCATTGTTGCTTAGTGCTACCAGAAGACTGCATTTTATCAGCGTCTTCACCAAACAAAACTATGTCATCTGCGTACTCTAAGTCGATAAGTGGACCTCCTGGTAGTAGATCAATACCCGATAATTTAGTCGACGAGAATGTAAGCAATGCAAGCAATTTAAACCTATTAATTAATTATGATTTTTTAAATATCACAAGTTGTAAGCAGCTGACGAGAACCTACGAAATAAAATGAATTCATTTTATTCTGCTAGAATATTTGTTCTTGCTCTTTTCAAAATGGTAAAGGGAACTATGTGTATGAAATGTTATTTCCATCAGTAGGTCTATGATGAAGTTAAACAAAAATGAAGAAAGTGGACAGCCTTGACAGACACCACTTGAGGTTGCAAAAGCAGATGACAGTTCGCCATAAGCTCTGACGCGACTAGTAGTGTTCGAGTAGTGAGCCTTTACAAGGTTTATGTACTTTTGAGGTACGCCTTTCAATGACACACTGCCACAGAACCTCTCGGTCTACAGAGTCAAATGCTGCTTTTAAGTCAAGAAAGACCACCATTATCGGACGCCAATAAGTATCCTTGTGTCCTAGAACCTGACGAATGATGAATATGTGGTCGATGCAGCCACGACATGGTCAAAAGCCAGCTTGATGCTCTCGTGTTTGCAGTTCACAAGTCTTAGTTAGGCGTCGGATAATCATCGAAGATAATATTTTAGATGCTATATTAGTTAAACTAATTTCTCTATGGTTGTCACAGGATGATTTCGACCCTCACTTATATATTGGGACGATGAGTGATTGTGACCAGTCAGATGGAATAACGTCCAACTCCCAGATCTTAGCTAAAATATTAGTCAACCTAATCGCTAAAATTGAACCACCATCCTTTAAGACTTCTGGAGCCAGTCTATCTGGACCAGCTGCCGTTCCTCGTTTCAGATTAACTATAGCCTTTTAGACTTCAGCTAGAGTTGGGGGACCTATATCAATGTCCCATTCACACTGTCTGGGAATGGAGGGTAGTTGTAGAGTAACTGAAGGCCAGCTGAAATGTTCCCTAAAATGTTCCGCCCATCGTTCTAAACGTGTGGAGTGGGAGCAGATGAGAGTGTCGTCTTTTTCCGAAATAGTCTGAGTTACACTTGACTTATTAATTCCAGTTTCTTTTATTAGTCGGTAGAGCTGTCTTGTGTTCCCTACAGCGCCGCCTTTTCCATCTCTTTTGCTTTCATTGCCCACCACTGCTCACGGTCGTTTCTTAGACTTTTTCTTAACCTAGATCTGATTTGTTATCGCTCTTCATCATGTTCGGAACCTGATGGGACGAGCTTGCGAGAATCCATCAGTGCAATAGACCTTGAGGAAATCCATTGGTTCTTTGTAACCCTGTGGTTTAAATCACTGATAGATGTCACTGCTGTCTCCACAGCTGCTTGTATATCTTTCCAAGCAACATCTGGGTCAGCCTCGTTTTTAGAACTACCTAAGTGTGACCTCAGTTGTTGGTGGGACCTACTTTTGGTTTTCTCGCTACTCATTTCAAAACCTGGGAGCAGTGGACGGCCATTTCATTCGCGCGCAAGACCGAAGGTCGTGGTTTCGAATCCCTCCTGAGGGTTGGTAGGTTCACAATGCTGAGGAGTCTCATAACTGGAAGAAACGGTCGTCCAGTGTTTCCAGGTTTTCAGTGATGGTCTAGCTTAAATTGACTTGTGAATTCAACAGTGAAAATACTTCATTCTGCACATATCCCCATACTGTTAAGAGAACTTAAAGAATTTCTAACATAATTGGTGTAAAACATGTTTAAAGGGCGTATTTAAGGTATTCATCTGAATATATGTTCTTAAGTGTCTAAGTTTCCTTCACTGTACTTTCTGGTAGTACGATCTCTGATGTTAGACATCTAATTGATCATAGCAGCCCATGAGAAATATAAGGCACGTTTTTCTACCCTATGTAAATTCACCAATACGGTTGGTTTATGTGAACATAATTATATCGTGTCTGACATTTAGTTGGAAAATCCTATAATCTACGGTCCTGCTACCTTTTCTTTATAATTCTTACTGTGTTTCTTGTTTATATGTGCTGCTAAGTGGGGGTAAATGCGTAGACAATCACGATATTATGTTAATAACATCAAGGGTTGATTTTCGTCAGTGAACCATTGAAAACTAGGGACTACTTGATAGTTGCGTTAGGAAGCTATACCCATGAATATTGTCAAATATATACTACTGGGTCTCGGCTCAGTGGTCTAAGGGTTAAGCACTCGCTTCGAGATCTGAAGTACTTGGGTTCAATTTCCAGTGGAGTCGTAGGTATGTACTGCTGACGAGTCACATGCTAGGATGAAATAGCTGTCTAGTGCTTCCTATTTTTCATTGGCTGTCTAACTAAGGTCAGTCCGTGATGTAAATTCGGAATGTGGCGTTGCCTATCTCAGTATATCAATAATTGGGTCTCATAAGCTGCTGCTTATTATAATAATATATTTTTTTGCCGCTTAACAAAGTCTGTTGTATTTTTAGAGACAATCAAGAGGTAGCTGTTGTATATTTTAGAACTGGCTATACTCCAGATGCTTTCCCTGATGACGAAGTGAGTGATATTTATCCTTCTGATAATGTTTGTGTTAAGTTATGTGATATTTTCCAATCAATTATTCTTCACTTTTGATCTTATCTCCTTTTAACCACTTGTTTATCACATACAATTTCTTTATTAATCTTTCAATACTGATTTAAAGTTGTTATTCCGTAAAATTCTTCGCGGTGATATAATGAGCAGAAATTAGACATGATGGTCAGGTTTCAAGTGTATTAGTTTCTGATTGACGTTTATGTTTCATGTTCTATGGTCGCTTACGCTTTAAATAACTTAACCATCTTTATTTTATCAAATATTTTCGCATGTAGTTGCAAATCAGTTCTATTGCATTTCACTATATGTTCATTTGAAATTATTCTTAGGTTTAATAGTTATTGACAACTGAATTCCATATAAACTATTTACCAAATCAACTGAACCTGTTATATAGACTACAGATGTGACTCGTTCAGTAAAAAACCTATGTAAGTAACAATTTAGCATGAAGCGCAGAACATTTGTCTGCAGTGATGTTATGTTTATGTAACAAAAACATAAACTGTAGACTAATAAATCATCTTGTCGAAGGGCCCCTGAAGAGGGCCGAATCATCTTCACTTTGGAAGCTCATCGATGTCTGCTATGTAGAAAAACAAGGTATTATTAAATGTGGCACCCAAAAAAGTTCTTATAATACTGGTTTTGAATATAGAACGACTAATAATACGGATGGAATGTTTTTCCAGTTACCACTACCTCTACATCATACAATCGTTTTCTCCAAGCTAATATTATTTTTATTATTTAAAACTGTCGGCTGATACAAATTTTTTTAAAATAGTGTTCATTAAGGTCGAATTGTTCAATAACGCTTCCGTCTAATAATAATAATGACAATAGTTTATTCTCGAATAATAATAAGTTACACGAGTCATGCCAATTTTAAGGATAAGATCAAATTGATAAAAATGTTATGATATTCACTACATTAGACTAGATAACCCAGTTTAGTTGACACGTTATAACGAAACATTTGTTACTAAAATAAGACAACAAATGTTGGTATATAAAAACATGATTAATGGGATTAAACCTGAAATATGCAACATAAAAATTTTACCCATCATGTTGATGCTGCGTTACAGAAATGAACTGTTGGTTGCAAATAATGCAAATATTATGCAGTCATCTTGCAGTTAAAAAAGCCAATTTTTTGCATATATTTTGTTGTTTTTTGTTACTGTTTGTCAGGTAACTGATATTATAGCATTATTGTAGAAAGAATTCCTACCACAGTATCAAGTAAGACGTACATTAAAGTCTTAAGTTCTGGATACGTATTTTGTGTGTTGCATCACGATAGCACATTCAACGATGACAGATGGGGCAGTCTGAGTATTATATACTTCAGTTTGCTCAATTGCATCTATTTTACAATACCTTTGCTCCCATGTGCTTCACAGTTGTGTTAAGTATATTTAATACTGATGTATGTGCAGTTTATCAGGGGAAAACAACTACAACAACTCAGGAATAGTATTGTTGATGGCGTCCAAACATAGTAATATCTAACATTTAAATAATTAAAGGTTTCCTAGACTTCAGCTAGACTCGAGAGACCAGGATCAATAAGTACAACATCCAGCCTTTAGTCTGCCAAAATTTCATGGTTGTGGGACACCGAGGTATCAAAATCACCGTGGTCAGGAAAATAGTGTATTGTAATCGGATTTTTTTTCTTGTTATGACATTTATTTGTCTATAATACAAAATGTCCTAACTACTTGTTTGATTGGTTTCCAGAAAAAATTGTTTTTGCTTAAGTTTACGTGTTTTACAAATAATCTGGATTAAATAAATAGTGTTTACCATAAAAAAATCAATAGTTTCTGAGATGAATACAAACATTTAAATACCAATATCACTGATACTTTTAAGCACAGGGAACTGTAAGACTAAGTTACTAAGTTGTTGGACAATATTCGTAATAATCTAAATATTTTCAACTTTATCCAAAAGTAACAGGAAGCAGTTGAAATTTGTTTGAATGCCCTGGTACGGCCTAGAGTGGGGAGAGTCCGCTCTCCCTCTCGAAATACTCTCACACGGCCACGCGTATACAGCCTCTGCCAGGGAAGTCCTACTCATTGCCTTCTCGTGGCGGGGGTGTTGTTTATGAAAATGAGAGGACGAAAAGCGAATGTCCGGCGCTTTAACCGGATTCCAAATCAATGGTGCACATGGGCTCCAGTATCCTGAGGGAACGAATGGCGTATGAACCAATCGTTGGTCACCGGCTACCATGGAACTGCATCTCCTTACAATGCTCCACTGCCTTATGGGTTAGACCTTTAGGTCAAAGGCTCGGGGAGTGGCCCCCTAAGATAACCACCTGCTTCGGTTTGGGCACCCGGGCAGTATCACAGCCCACACACAAATTGATGAACTCTTTATGCCTATGGAAATTACCTTTCTCGCTTTGAAAAACAAACAATTGATTCAGATTATTATCATTACAATTATTGTCATTATTAATACTAATATTATTATTACTACTATTATTGTCATTATTGTTATTATTATCATTATTATTATTATTTTCCACATTATTCACCCTCTTTTATACTTATACAGCGGCTCGTCTTTGGTGGAAATCCGACTGTATCTAAACGTTCTCGAGTCACTGTCCGGTTGAAAATTGTATGTTACCACCGAATACGAGGACTGAAGCAGTTTTTCTGAAACCACGTGCAACATTCAAACTGGCTGCCTTCAACGTTCGCACATTTATGCAGGTCGGACAACAGATAGGGCTGGCTATGTCCTTGGAAAGTCTTAATATCGACGTGTGTTGTCTATCCGAGACCCGTATTCAAGACTCTGGCGAAGTACTACAAATTCGATCTCCATCTGTCGCTTCGAAAAGCTTGTTTTACGTGCGCTTATCCGGGGACCCTGTGGCATCTTCGTCTGGTCTTGCTGGCGTTGGTGTCGCACTAAGCGCTAGAGCTGAGGCAGCACTAGTCGATTGGATCCCCATTAACAGTCGGTTATGTGCTGTTAGATTAGAGAGTTCCATCAAAGTGAGAAGAAATCGGCGTGAGAAACGATGTCTTTTCGTCATCTCCGCCTATGCCCCGACAGATTGCAGCCCGGATGCAATCAAGGATGAGTTTTACCACCAGTTATCAGTTCTTCTCCAGAAAGTGCGTTCGACAGATATTGTAGTACTAGCCGGAGACTTGAATGCTCAGGTCGGGCGTCTAGGCACAGAAGAGAGTCGTTTAGGTAGCCGATGGGGACTCGTTGGTCGCAGGTCAGATAACGGGGACCGTCTACTGCAACTGTGCACAGACCACAACCTGTTTCTGGCTGGCACTAACTTTCGACACAGTCATCGCCGACGTGCCACCTGGCGTCCTCCCTCTGCATCTCAAGCCTGGACTCATATTGATCACATCGTGATCCGCTACCGCTGGCGTGGTTGTGTACAAGACTGCCGCTCCTTTTGGAGTACCTATCTGGACTCTGACCATGCCTTGGTCTGCGCCAATCTTGCCTTACTTTTCAGTGGCCAACGAAGTGACCACCACCAAAAGATTGATGTTAGCAAGCTGGTTGCAACTTCTGTTGCTAGTAAGTATCGAACCGAGCTAGCCTCTAGGCTAGCTACCACTCCACCGAAAAGTATAGATGAGCATTGATTGCAATTGCATGACGCCATGAAAATGGCGGGAACAGTCAGTTGTGGGTTTGCGAAACGTCCCGCTTTTAAGCACTGGGTTTCTCCGGGTTCCTTACAACTCATTGAAGCCCGTCGGTCTACTCCGGCTGACCGTGAGTTTGACCATAAACGAAGGATGTTACGTAAGGAAATTGGGCAAAGCTTGCGTAAGGACCGAGAAGCCTGGTGGTCGAAGCGTGCTAATGAGCTGGAAGCAGCAGCTGCATCTGGTAACTACCGGAAACTCTTCCAGCTCATCCGAGCCACTGGCAGCAAGAAGTCTGGTGTGAGTGAAACAATCTGCGAGGATGATGGGATGCCAATCACTAACATCCATCGACGTCTTGGACGATGGGCAGAATTTTTCGAAGGGCAGTTCAACTGGCCTGCTGCTCTGGCAACATCGGTCAGACTGTCCTGCCCTCCATGGCCGGTGACGACTGATCCGCCAAATGAGGAGGAAGTCCGCAAGGAACTCCAACTCTTGAAGCGTTACAAATCACCTGGCCCAGATGACTTACCTCCGGCTCTTTTTAAAGATGGTGGTGACTTTTTGACTAAGGAATTGACGACGTTGTTTACAAAGGTTTGGGAACTAGAGAGTGTACCAACGTCATGGAATGAGTCGATAGTTGTCCCTATCTTTAAAAAGGGTTCACGTCGTTCTTGTAACAACTATCGGGGGATAAGTTTACTTCCGATTGCGTCCAAGCTATTGGCTTCCGTCATTCTTCGTAGGTTGTTCAAAACCCGAGAAAGATTGACTCGCGAGGAGCAGGCTGGGTTTCGTTCTGGTCGAGGATGTATTGATCATATCTTCACCCTCCGCCAAATGTTAGAACACCGCCATACTTATCAAAGGCCAACAATCGTAGTGTTTCTTGACATCAGGGCTGCCTTCGATTCGTTGGATAGGACTGTTCTCTGGGATTGTCTATTGAAGAAGGGTGTGCCTGAGAAGTTTATTAACATCCTAAAAGCCCTGTATAAAAACACCTCAGGCAGAGTGAGGGCATACAACTACCTCTCTCCATTGTTCCATTCGAGCAGTGGGGTTAGTCAGGGTTGCCCAATCTCACCATTCCTCTTCAACTTTGCCATCGATGACATTCTGGAAACAGCTCTGATGAATGTAAGTAATGGTGGTGTGGATCTGTTGCCTGGAGAAAGACTTCTCGACCTTGAGTATGTGGACGATATTGTCTTACTGTGCGATAATGCCCAAGGCATGCAATCCGCACTTAATCAGTTGGCAATCAGTGTCCGTAGGTATGGTATGTGCTTTGCACCTTCGAAGTGCAAAGTACTTCTACAAGACTGGCAGGATTCTAATCCTGTACTCACCCTGGATGGTGAGCAGATAGACGTAGTTGAGAAGTTCGTGTATCTGGGTAGCTGCATAAGTGCTGGTGGGGGTGTGAGTGATGAGATCGATGCACGAATAGTAAAAGCCAGTGCCAATCTGGGACACCTTTGGCGCCTTCGTGATGTTAGTCTGGCTGTAAAAGGTCGGATCTACAACGCGTCGGTGAGAGCAGTTTTGCTCTATGCTTGTGAAACCTGGCCTCTCCGAGTTGAGGACGTTAGACGACTCTCTGTGTTCGATCATCGCTGTCTCCGAAGGATTGCTGACATTCAGTGGCAACACCATGTCAGTAATGCAGAGGTTCGGCATCGTGTGCTCGGGCACAGAGATGATAACTCAATTGGTGTCACCATCTTGAAACACCGACTTCGGTGGCTCGGACATGTTCTCCGAATGTCGTCCCAGAGAATTCCACGTCGTGCATTATTTGCCGACTCTGGGACTGGTTGGAAGAAGCGGAGAGGTGGTCAGTGCATGACATGGTGTCGTGGCATGAAAGAAAGCTGCAAAGGACTGGCTTGTGTTGGTCCTTCACGACTCCCTGGCTGGGGTCCGAGAGATGGTGCTACACAGTGGCTAGAGACGTTATCAGATATGGCTCAGAATAGAAGCCAGTGGCGATCCTGCTGTAACCTTCTTTTACTTTCTTCATAAAAAGTGGTTGTGCCTCCTTTACCTGAAAGATTTCTTCTGATTGTACCTTTTCGTTCCGTCGTTACTACCACACTACCTTACTCCAATCTCTTCGTCATTGTTCTCTTTTTCTTTTGCGTTTTTTTCCTACTTCTCTTCGTATTCTCATTGTTTTGTGTGGCGCATATATATTGGCGCTCTCTTGTACCAATATTTATGTGTTCAAATAAATAAATAAATAAATAAGAATTATTTGATAATACAGTTTTCTCTAATTCCATCAATTATCTGTTTTCATTTATGGTCAAGAAAGCTATTAAACGTTTATATCAGTATTTTACTGAGTTTAACAATTGTTTCTGATCGTTTTGCATATCAACGTAATATATTTGATAAATATTTTTTTACACTTGATTGATAAATAAATGTGATCATGAAAAATCAGAATGATCAAAAATCCTACAATTAGTATTTGTCCTTATAAGTTTGAAACATGCACATTGGGGAAGCATTCATGTCACATGTTTTTGTATCTACATGTGGCTGTACGTTTAGTATTAAAAATATAATTTGCGATATGGATAAATCATTTAATTTATCGTCAAGGCTAGGGGCGGCCAGATCAAAACATGACACAAGTCCATGAAGTCACTGACAAGTGGACTGAGTCATATTGGTAGATGTAGACTACCTGGTTGGGGACCGCGAGATGATAGCAACCGATGGTTAGAAACCCTGAATGACATGGCTCAAAATCGTTTGCAATGGTGCAGGTGCATCCATTCTTTGTGTTCTCCCAAATTCTAATCTTCTGAATTCTTCATATCCCTTTCCTTTTTCTCTTTTCAAATTCATTTCACTGGATTATACTTCAAATCCTAATTTTTCTGATCACAGCTTATAATTTTACTACATCTAGCACTACGGGATTTGAATCGACCACTGCATCTCTGTGCTGATGTGGTGTGGCAACTCGAACTGATGTACGTACGTACGAAGTTCTACGTTGTTACTGACTGACTATCGTCAAGGCATCGAATTCAACTAAGAAAGTTACGCAACAAATAATTACTTCGCATAAAGTGGGTTTATTAAACATCCATTCAAAGGGGATTAGCTAAGTATGCTATTTTGGTGCTAACTAAGGGCCAGCATTTCACTGAGCTTTCCTAATATCAAGTTGATTATAACATGAAAAATAATGCTACTTAGAGGACAAACCTCTTTTGGTCAACGAGTTGTATTTCACCACATCCACACTTTTAAAAAGAATAGATAGCGTATTATCTAAAAAATCTCATACTGCAGACCGAATAATTTGATAATAAATGGTTACATATTACCCAAAAGTATCCAAATTCAGTCCGTTATAAAAATCCTTGATTAATATTTAATGGATTTCATGTTGACATTCTTTGTCACGTGTGTTCCCTGGAATATTTTTTGTGTCTCTTATAACTTGTGACCGCCGATTAGAGAGCAGTGACTTATCGATCGGATCAATAGCGCGTAAACCCGTGTGAGCAGTCTGGAGTCCTTATTTGTCCCGCTTACTGTCTAGCACAGCCACTAAGTCCAGAACACCAATCCGAGCCTCTGCGATATGAATCATTTATTTCAGATATACGGAGTTTATATACCAATCAAACAGACCACAACGTACCATAAAATAGGAAATGACATTTGTACAAGATTTGGCCAAAAGTGGCTGTGAATGAGGGAGGTAGTGATTAATAGATAGGGCATAATTCAAGAATGGTAAAACGTATAATAATAGTTTATGGGTCAAAATAAAGCTTATAATAATAAGAATATGAATATGCATAGTTTAGTTATTTAACAATTATACGATAAAAATATACGTTTATTATTGGTCCATAAATGGATCCCAAAAGTTACCATTCATTATGCTTATCGGGATCTAACAGTGTTCAATCGCAAAACTAAACTAAATTCTTTCGTCAATTACTGACGTGCACAATAATAAGAATTACCTTGCAGATAATGATTGAGATCATGAAAATAAATTTTTCATGGTGTTTTGTTTAACAATTAAACAGAAGACTGCAACATTCGTCGTCTATTTCTATATTGAAATAAATTGTAATCGTACTAACAGTTCACTGGCAACCTTTATATATGAATTATTAGAATGGATCTGTTTTATACTTCATAATAATGTATAGTTCATATTCTCATCAAAATCCATTCATACATTTCGTTGATATTAATTAAAAGGTGCTTAACTTCTTTTAACATATCAAATGTTTTTAAAAAAAATTTAATTAATCCGTGATGTACTTAACTCATCTCGTTAACATTTAGTGACTTCAAACAATGTTTTTTTACTTTCAACATGCCAACATACGGTTCCACATATTGTTTATTCCCATCTAATCTTTCCAGCGTGTTCAGATCTCTTTTTCATTAAACTGTAGATTTACATCCGTATCTTAGATTCCAGTGAATACATAATATGTAAGTACTAAATCTGCCATGATTACATTTACAGATAAGAAATTATGTCGTAATATAATAATTCACAATACTGAATTTGTTATATCTACATTATTACAGAGCTGTAATTTTGTGCTTATCAAGTTTTCTCAGATTTTACTCTCCATAATGAACAGCCTTATCAATGACTCGATTAATACAACGGTCCGCGTTAGAAATTTAAACATCTAACTAATCAAATAAACAGAATTTATATAAGGAGAAGAAACTTGCGATGGTAGAGACAAGATTTTTATTTTAGGTGGGTTATTTTATTAGTTTCATTCTCTGACCTGGACGGTTTAATCCTGTCAAAATAAATATGCAGATAATGACAGAATAAAGGTCAACAATAATTAATAAATCAAGTTCGACCAAACATGCTATCAGTAGGTTATGTGGGAAGAAGTTCGAATAGTTCAGTTCTACCTGAAGTCTGTACTAATTATGTTGTTCTGTAGATCCATGAAAATTTCACAACTAAACTAGTCAAGTCAAAGAATGTAGCAAGACATAAAACTCAGATTCCCATCACGCTACTGTTGACAGGTTTCCAGTGTGCATTATAGATGTGTTTCTCTCAGAGGTTTGTCGAGATTTTAGCATGGTATTTTATATCCGTACTTACTGCAACATACAACTTGATCTGCACATCTATTCCCCTTGTGGTTTATTTTCTGCACTGATTCGTATAAGTCTTCTAGGCAATATATAACACTTCTTTCCAGATTAGCTGCTCAATAATCCAATAAAATATCTATGTTAATTTTTCTCATAAATCTAGTTAATGATACTTTCAGCTATTTGGTCTTTATATATTTCCGTTTTGTGTGTGTTTTATTCACTTCGTGCGTAGACATGGGATGTGAAATATCAACTTGAACGGTCGTTAGCTATCAAATGCCCATGCATACAATATATGCTTGCAAATACAAAAATAATACAGGCCGCCCTATCAAAACCGAAATATTTATCTAGATTTTTTAATCCGGATAGTTCAAGTTATTTAAATATTTTATCTACATTCGCCCATCAATATACATTAGATGAAGAAATGGGAATATCGGATTCCACTGAGATTCAATATGTAATTAACGATTGTCTATTAAGACCAGATAATTATGTTTTGAAACCACAGAGAGAAGGTGGAGGGAATAATTATTTTGGAGGTATTGGTTTTCTTGTTAAATCTTTCTCGATAACTACCATTTTAATTTTATTCAATCCGATTAGATTTGTTAGTCGATCTTTTAAGGTGAATAATCACTTTTCACGTTATTAACCTTTATGCAATAAGTATGTCGTTTACGGGCTCGGTCTATAAAATGTTGTGTTGAGTTATGCTGGGTTTTTCGGTTATTACTATTATCACTTCAAAAGTGCTTAGTGTGAGTGGGTTTTTCTAGAGAGCATCCATGTCCAGATACGATGTTTCGAATATAATTGTTTTGGAGCGAATATGTTATGGGTTGTCCGATAAATATAAGGACTGAGATACTTAGATTTTTGACGAAGCTTTGTGAAAACACTGAAGGAAACGACTCATTTAGATTTGATAAAGCATTTTAGTAGATTGTAGTGACGCAAGGTCAATGATAACCGGCAACATTTACTTTTATTCCAGACGTTCTAAGTGTAAGGCATCTTGAACTTTTTGACGACTGACTCTTTGTCCGAATAGCTAGTGATGAAGTGAATCAGGAAACATCATCCATACACACGATCCTAGCATAAAAATAATGAAAGGATGAGGTTGTTGAAAATCTTGACCTTTTAGGACCGTCAAGGATGTTATAAATAAATAACGTGAAGATAGAACGGCTATTTCGTAATAAATTGGAAGTGTTTTGAAGTGGATATATCCAAAAGTTTCTACACCAAAATCTGCACCTTCCTAACCAGTGGTTAACGACTTCATGAACCGCTAGCGCGTTCCGATATACTCACTCTTGGCTTTTTTCCAAACTGCACGTATTTCATTTAACAGTCCATGACAGGACATAGAATAACACTTGTCCCAATCATTCCGGTCGACCATGGTTTACAGCGTTATCAATCTAACCTCACATATTTATCTAATATCATGTCCATAACCAGCAATACTCACTTGGTAGTTTTACTATATGAGCCCTTCTTTAAAGAATATATAAATTAAAATATGTCCAGTTTCAATTTGTAGTTAATGATAATTGACGTGCTTTACGAACACTAGGACCAAACTATGTTTCTTACAATCACTCTTGTAAGTCTTTATCGGCACCCTATCGAAAACAATTAAATTAGCAATACCGTTCTCAAATTTAGATGTACACACTAGCTAATTACTTACGACAAATATGTAAATCTTGCTAAAAGCTAGATTTACTTATGGTTTAGTAAGGACGAGTTGTAAAATCATAGGAATAGATTGTTTGTTACAAAAATAGTTCTAATCATCAATGATTAATAGATATGTCATTTGAAGAATAACTTATTGACTATGATTTAGATTGGTCTAATTCTTAATCAGTTATCCTCTTTACTAATTATACATAGAGGAACTTGTTCAGAAATTAAAGTCAATTATGAATCATTCTGAAAGAAAACTGTATGTACTTATGGAGCGTATACAACCATATATTTTTGAAAATTCTATATTGAATTCAACTTCAGCTTCTGGAGAATTAAATGTCAAGAAAATGGTTGCTGAATTGGGTATTTTTGGTGCAATTCTTGCGTAAGTTTAACAACTAGTAGTGTACTTTTTTATTTCTAGTTTGTCATTTTGATTTTGAAAACCAATGCAAAATACTCTGTCAATGAATAATTTACTTAGTGGTCGTTAATTCACGTTTACTTCATTTTAAAAATTGGTAAAACTATAATACTGTCATTTATGATACTATTATAGAGATTCAAATGAGTTATATTCTTTTAGATTGAAGGAATGTTGATGGATTAAAACAGGGAATGATTGCATTACCCCGCAACTTATTTTTGATTTTCGAAGTTATGATTGGTGGATTTTATGTGGCAGCCAAACCATGACATGACATCAGTCCATGAATCATGGGCTACTGCCCAGACGTATGTTGGTAGGTATACACTACTTGTTTGGATTTAGCATGAGGTTAAATAATAATGCTAAAATCAAGCTCATTTGTAAAGATGCATTCACTCTCCCTCTACCCAGATCTAGATTTTAAAATTTGTGTTATATCTTTTATTTCGGGGATTCATTTACCCTGTCACCCCTCGTGGAGGAGCATAAGCCGCTCACCAGCACGAATCTCTCTGTGCTTATATAATACAGCAACATGAGTCTATGCACATTTTTGCCATTTCTTATACTGCTTATATCTGTCAAATTTTTCGCAATAAGGTGTAAGTAAAAACAGAATCTCTACTAAATAATAAAGGAAATTCTTTGTGAAAATACAATTTAAATTATTAGAACCTAGATGTTAGAAAGTAGATATGTCAATCCACTTTAATTAATTTCAGAACATACTTATTTTGAGGTCTTTATGTAACTGCTAATGTGGTTTACTTTACTTAGTCGGACGAAATTACATTCAGTCAGCAAAAACGTAGAAATTCGCATGTAAGTACATCAGTTCAGGTTGCATTACCACATTAGCACAGAGATACAATTGTCGATCCACATTCTATAGTGGTAGAGGTAGAAAAAGTATAAGCAGTAATTAGAAAGATTATGGTTTGATGATGTTATTCAAGGGGTGTTATCCAGTGAAATAAATTTGGAAGGAGAAAAAAGAGACATGAAAAAACTCCGAAGGTTAGAATTCGAGAGAACACAAAAAGTGGATGCGCCTGCGCCATTGCAAATGATTTTGAGACATGTCATTCAATGTCTCAGTTGCTATCGTCTCGCGGATCCCAACCAGTTAGTCTACACTTACCAACATAGCTCATTGCACTTGTCAGTGACTTCACAGATTTGTATCGTGTTTTGGTCTGGCCGCCCCTAGCTTCCTTCCAACCTACTCATACACCATAAAACATCGCACGTCGGGGCAGTCGGTGGTTGGGCGTAGGTAACATATGTTCCAGACATCTCAACTGATGAAGTTTCGCTACGTTATCAATTGATTTGGCATCCTTACCTAGTACCCGTTTCCTAACAACAATATACGAGCAATTCTTCGAAGACACCTATGATCGAATACTAGTTGTGTTCAAGTAGAAAGCCTGTAATTGAACTGTTCATTGATTTCTCTTACGAATTGTAATTTAAATACTATCCCAATGCTTTTTCTTGTAAACAGGTGTAAAGATGAAATCTTCCTGAATGAGTTTTCTGGTCACCTTCTTCGATCAAAACCACTGGAATCTAATGAAGGTGGAATAGTAGCAGGTTATGGTTGCCTTGACTCTCCATTCCTCGTTTAATACGTTTCAATTACTTTCATTTTGCTTCAGTGAAATAACAATTAGAATGATTTTAAAAAAATACATGATTTGTTAACTTTATTCATTATAGTATATAAAAAAGGGAACTCCTTATTCCAAATAAGTGATTTCATTAGGTTAAGTCAGTTTTATAGATTTTTACACTAATATAATCGTTTCAGTTATTAGTTATCAAGATGTAGTTTGCAGCAGACCTATCTTAACATGAAATTCTTCGGGATCACAGAACTTTTAAGTTATTTACACAAGCATGTTCAAGCTAATGGGAATATTCGTCATTTGTTACCACCTGAACTTCCTTCACCTTATGCTGCAGTTACTGAATTGCATCCATTTGATAATGACAAATAAAGTGTATTAAGTAGTTTGAAGCAAGGAAAGTGTTTCATTGTGAATGAGAATAATTCAATTGCTTTCAGGTATTCAGGTGTTTAACACTCCCCACTTCACCCATATCGTTTTGATGGGTTTAGAAAAGAAAATGGATCAGTGGCGAAGTTCTTGTAAACCTGAGTATAACCACAAAGTTCAGGGATTAGCTGCTTAAGTTCAAAGATGCACGATATATTAGCTCTGTGGTTGACAGATCTTGTTGTGAGCACTGGTAATCTGTCGGGGGGAAGATAAGGCATGTTCCTTTCAGGGTTAACCCTTCCTAGTTCCTTTGTGAGGCAGTAGTACTGGGGTTGTCGTGGCGCATATGCATCTGTTGCTCCCTTGTACCAATATTTATGTGTTCAAATAAATACTGGGGTTGTTATTTATCCGTGAGGAACACTACTGCTCCCACACCTCGTTGCGATCAGCAAAATGACTTCACCCTCGGACCTCAAGTTTGATGCTTTTGGTCTTGATCTCCAGTCGACCCACTGAATATAGAACACCAAGTGTATCAGTCAACATAGATCAACATTATATGCGAGCCCAAACATCCTGGCGACGCACCGGAAACGGTCAGGTCCAAAGTAATTTATGAGTGGCACTGAACGGTGGACTCACATCAGTTTGCCTACACTAAATAAAATCTATGTTAGTCAGTTCTTAATAGCGGTCGAGTTCTAATAAATTAAAACCTTGAGAAATACCATTGTAATCCTGCGTATAGAACAACCAAGGATTATTTCTTACAATATGAATTATTGGAAGTCAAGATTCGTGGCATTTCATAAAATGTTTTCAGCTGGTCTCCAATCACACTACCAAAAGCTCACAATTTTATTGCGTATACCGATGAGGTTTTCACCTCTTGATTTAATTCACTCTAACTGTCAATGACTTCATGCTCTTATAATATCTTTATTCAATGGATATTTGCAACCCCATCAATCTGTTTGCCATCACCACCTAGTAACCTTCACCTAACTCCGATATCGCTGGGTGTTTCTATTATATTTGCGAAGTTCTCGCAATTCGTTTAATCCGGTTGGCGTTTTTTTAGCAAGATGATACAAACCTTCCTATAGATTTCACTCCACCAACGACGGAAGAAATTAAGACGGCCACCACACAAATCAAAAGTGAGAAGGCACATATTCCATGTTCTGTTCGAGAAGATTGGAGAGGAAGAACAAGTGCCGATGGACTAGAAAGAAGGACACCTTACCAACATATCAAAGAAAGGAGACTTTAGCAAATAAGAGAACTAAAGGGGCATCACAGTACCGTCATTACAAGAAGTTTTCGACAATGTTGCTGGACCGGATGAAACACGCAGTAGACGCCCAAATTCGTGATCAACAGGCTGGATTCCGTAAGGACCGGTCGTGCACAGACCAAATCACGACACTACGGATCATCGTCGAAAAGTCAATTGGATGGAACTTGTCAATATACATCAAATTCATTGACTGTCAGAAGGCGTTTGATAGTGTGGACAGGAGAAAACTATAGAGTTCCTAAGAAGATTGTCAACATAATCCGGAGCTCATATGACGGACTACAGTGCAAACTCGTGCGTGGATGACAGCTGATAGATGCACTCCAAGTAAAGACCGGAGTCAGACAAGGCTGTCTACTCTCCCCCTTCCTCTTTCTTCTGTTGGTTGACTGGATTATGAAGACCTCCACATCTGACGGGAAGCACGGAGTACAATGGACAGCTCAGAATCAATTAGACGATTTGAACTTTGCAGATGACCTAGTCCTCCTATCCCATGCGCACGAACAAATTCAGATGAAGACAACTAGTGTAGCAGCAGCCTCTGCATCAGTAGGCTTCAACATACAAAAGCAAGATCCTCAAATACAACACGGAGAATACCAACTCAATCACACTTGATGTCGAAACTCTGGAGGATGTGGAATCTTTCACGTACATGGGAAGCATAATCGATAAACAAGGAGGATTTGACGAAGATATAAATTCGAGGATTGGCAAAGCAGCATCCCTACAACTGAAGAATGCATGGAACTCAAAACAACCGCCAAACAGTATCAAAGTCTTGATCTTCAATACAAACGTCAAGACAGTCCTACTGTTAGGAGCTGAAATGTGGAGAAGTACTACAACCATCATCAAGATACTGAATGCTTGTTGTCCGGACACCATCAGCCACAGCCTACTGTTGGAGAGAGCAAACCAGCTCCCACATAAAGAGAAAATTAGGAAAAGATGTTGGAAGTGAATGGGACATACGTTTCGGAAACCATCGGACTGTATCATGAGGCAAGCGCTTATAAGGAATGCTGAAGGGAAACGGAAAAAATGAAGGTCGAAGAACACACTGCACCGAGAATTGGAAGCAGACTATGAAAAGGATGAGTAGCAACTGGAAAGGATTTTCCGGGATAGGGTTAGATGAAGAGTGCTACTCCACTAGGAGTAACAGGTGTAAGTAATCCCCGCAAGTTGTTTGTGGTCAGACATTAATTATCATATTCTCAATCAATTTTTGGGAGTCTACGGAGATCTCGATGTTCATAAAGAAAGTACTTAGCAGTTCGCTGTCCATTACCTTAAAGCGGAGGAACATAGATTATGAAGACAGAAGGCATCCGTAAACTTTTGGTATTCGTATGTCAGTTTTTTTGAGCCATGAGGTGCAACTTGCTCAGCTGTATACGAAGCACAGTCATCTCGAATAAGACCTCGTCGTTTCATCTGTTTTCAGATGCAAGTTTATAGGAAATTTACGAGACGCAACAATCTCAAGTTTATGAACTAGAATATTTACAAAACACCAAAAAACGGGGGCATGTCCCCGAACCTTCCCAATACAAGTTGACTACAACGATCTGAAACCTACCAGTTTGGTTAACCCCTCAGGGTTCTCGTGTAATCACAGATATTGAACTTCATTATAGCAGCACTTTGAAACTCAATGGTCTGCTTAGTTTAGCAGGAACCACTCCACTCCTAGGTTTACTGATGTTGCTCCATTGGAACTCTTGTGTGTATTCTTACAAACCTCTTCAACAAACTAGTTCTTTAATAACACACATTAGGATGACATAATTCCTGTATGGTTGTTTACATTTTTCTGCTCCTCATGCTTGTCGTGCGTAAGTATAAGTCTATTCACACTCATCACTTATGGCAGCAGACACTTCAGTATCAGTACTTCAGCGACTGTCTCCACAACGAAAAGTATATCGCACTAGGAAAAACTATTGGATCACCAACTTCTATACTTTACACCAGTACAGTTCACCAAACCATTGTTTGAATAACAGTGATTGCAAAACACTATGATGAGCCGAGGTAGAAGAACAAAACTAGTTTCTTTCCTTCTAGATCTGTAATATGCCTCGGTAAATAGCGTACGTAGATACCATAATTTGCGCACTTTCCTTTGAGAGCTGGTTGCCTAAACCAGAGTAGAAGTCAGCTGTTGTGATCGCTGAATCATTACTCTACAAAATAAGAATATATGCAATAACCCTGTTAACTTTTTTTTGAAATAGTATTAATCCTAATATTACTCTGGAAAGTACAAACTGATAAACTTATAAAGACAGTAGGTTAGTGGAAAAATAGAAATCCAGAATAACAATACAACCGTAGATTTAATACTAGGAATGAAACTCGAAGATTGCGAGATACGATCTGCCTAATAGTTAAAGTATATCTGTTTCTTTACTCAAAAAACTGCGGATTTCATCCAGTAGCTCTTGCTTTACTGTGTCTGGCACCATACGTCGACCGACTGGGGTAATTTCAGCTACCAAATCATCTATTGTTAGATTTTCAATCCCGCGATCCCGAATAACATCTGAAATTTGAAGAGGGGGAGAGTATTTACTCAAGTTGAATATACGTGAATAAAAACAGTTTAATGACTAGGCCGCTGGGGCTGTGAAAGTCACATTACTACTTATCTCACGAATCGGTAACGATCATTCATTCCACAGATGTGGTTGAGGAATTTTAAAATCTCGAGTTTGAAACTCCACTAACTTGCTCTGGAACTTTGATATACTGACCTATAAAAGTCACATGGTAACCCAAGATCCCATAGTACCTCAGATGTTGGTGTATAAGAGATACAATAAGTGTGTGGATTTTCCACCAACTAGTCCCTGGCAGCGTCGATCTAGTTATCTGCAGTCACTTGTGACTCCAAGTGTGTTCATTCGGTATTTGGCAATACAACTTTCATAGTTTCACTTTCCTGCTTATTTAGACCGATTAAGTGTTTAAGACTGTGCAGCATCCGAACCAAACCATAACAGTTTTCTCCAAAAATGCCATGTCGGTTGAGGGGGGCTGAAATATTCACAGATTGAGGCTGCTGATACGTGTGTTACACATGTCTAGTCACCATCTGCTCCGATGAATCGTGCTGGCTATATCTTTATTAGTTAGAAAGGCTATGAGAGACCGGGACAGTATCATTAGCAAAAACTTCAGGTAGAAATGAGGTATTCAACAGCACAATAA